ATGCAGTGCAATGATAAAATCATGATTACCTTTTCAATAACATGCTTAAGATCATTATCATTGTCCAGTAAAATTTCTTCTATTGGATCAACTGAACATTGCGATGGACGCCATCTTATAACATACACCTGTATCTGTGTATCATGCTTCATCTTCTCTGGTCCTAATGAAAAGTAATAAAAAAGAAGTATATATAGTATACTTAAAATATCATAGCAGTATTTATTGGTGAGGGGCTAAATTGGTGAGTTAGCAAATTTCAGGAAAACACTAAATTAAAATTGCCAATTATTGTGGTAAGAGATAATGAAGTCACCAAATTTTTTAATCTAAAAGTCACCAATTCACCAAAAATAATGCCTGCTATACTGTTCTACAGTTTAAATGAAAATATTGACTGACCTTTCAATGGTTCCACATAATATATTCCCTCAATAGCATGAATCATCTGATCATCAAGATATACTCTACAAGGGTACACTCCTCTCTTGTCCCGTAATCTCATTCTACACAATGAGTCACATGATAGTCACATGATGTACTTACTTGTCTAATTTAAGGACACAGTCAATTCCTTGTACTTTTGCTCCATAAATAATTTGTTTCTTAAATTCTCTCACTGGTGTATCCTCAGCAACAACAGACTCCATCATATATTTACAAAACTAAAACATAAAATAAAATATTTTTAAAATTAATATTCTTACGTCTGTATCGTTAACTTGTAATAAATATAATTTAATTCTGGCTCCATGCAGTCTTACTATCAACTAGGAGATAAAAGAAGTATTTTAGTTCATACAACATAATAGTAAAAGAAGTGAATCAAAATACTTTTGGTAAAGATATGATATTCATTAATGTCTCATCCAGTCCCTCCATTTCATATTCTTCATCATTTCTGATTCTGTACACTCTAAAACCAGTAGGTAGAACACCAATCAGTGGAACTAGCTCCTCCTTCAATTGAGCTAATGTTACCCTCTTATCAACTTGTACTTGTATCTCTGTATTGAATAACATAATATTTAATAATCTTAATAATTATAATTACTTCTTTTATCTTCTTCATTTATTGATATAATATTCATTATCATTCCTCCTTCAGTTAGATTAGTTGTACTGAGAGTGGCTTCAGGTTGAGGAAAGGGTAGTGTAATGTCCAATAGTATTATTGAGTTGAAGTGAAAATCAACATATCTGTACATCAAACTATCTTTGTATTTCTCTAGAAAATCTATAGGATCTGATGATACATATATCTAAGGAGAAAGGAAAGATCATGTGTACATGTGTGTGTGTGAACAAAATAGTAAGGAGGAAAATATTAAAATACTGAATAACATGTTCCTTTTGTTTGGCCAAACTAATTAACCTGACAAAAAACCATAAGGAGAATGTATAGAGCATAAAAGCATATACATATA